AAATTATTTATTATTTATATGTGGTTATTACATGCTATTTGCAAAAAAAATAAAAATAAAATAAAATACATAAATACTTGTAACTCCTTCAAAGTTCAATAAACTTTTTTAGTCTTGGGTTAAAAATTCAAATTTAGTATTAAAAAAATAAATAAAAAAATGTTTGCCATTATTGTAATCCTTGTATGCTACAACTTATTAGTACTATGCAATATCATTTATGAGTTGTTAACTAAAAGAACAATTGTTTCAATTATTTTTTCAAAATTTAATTTTATATAATTAATTTGCTTCCCAAATGAATATTTTTGGCTTTGGCGCCCCTGGAGAATGGCTTCTTTTGCTGCACATGAAGCAATCACGACTTGAAGTGTGACACTATATTAATATAAGATTAAGGGATTGATATAAAATTATATTTGAAAAAAAAAAAAAAAAAAAAAAACTATATTCTTTGCGAAAGAAGTTGACACCGACCCCTAACTAAAAAAAAAATGTCGACACCGAGCACAGTTAATGTGGAATCGATTGTTGTCACATAATGAGCTCCATATTAACGGGTCACATAGTGGATGTCACTTTCGCAATGAATAGCATTGCTCTCCTGCTTGGAATTAAGAAATGACAATGATAATTGATTAGGCAAGTCCCATTACTTTAAAACAACTCATATATGGGTATTGTTAGTGGCTTGAGACCTCAACAAGCTTAGGTAAGGACAAAACATGCGGACAATTAAATTCGTATTATTCTAAAGCCCACCATCTCCAATTATTATTACGGGACAAAGTTCACACCAAATGAATCACAGATTAAAAATAATAATTATTATACTAATAAGAAAACAAAAATTATGAACTTTATAGTAATTTGTAAAATAAGCAGAAAGAGAAAATATGATGGAGAAAGAATATATATATCTATATAATTGAAATGAAAATTTCATTTTATAAATATGTATAAGATTTTACAAGCCCATAAAAGGGGAGTTAGCCCAACTAACATTCAATTGGATCCAAGAGTACCCAGCCCAAGGAATCAATACCCAAAGAGTAAAAAGAGGAGATGACCCTGGTCTACCACAATTCCAGTGATTTCCATGGAGAATATCTCCATGGAAATTAATCTCGTCAGTTCCTTTTATCAGGAGGCTGGCAGGAGGTCTCAAGATGGATGATGGCAGTTACCATTCGGCAATTAATCTCCTAGCTGAAGCGGAATCTGGGATGGTTGAAGACATGGGCTTCAATCTAATCGGCTCCAAAGTAAGATGCAAAACAGAGTTTTGAGAGAGTAATTTCTTTTGGAAGATCCTTCGGTTCCTCTAGTTCCAGATATTGTAGCCAGGGAGGCTTAAGAGAGCTTTGATAGTGTGCAACTGTGATTGTTTGAATTACCTCTCCAATGGAAGGAAGACCATGCAATTAGGTGGGACCAATTAGATGGTTGGATATAGAACCCACAACATGCTTGTAGAAATGCCCATAAGGACCTTGCATATGAACACTTGAAGAATAGATGATCATGGGATTCCAACTCCCTATTGCAGAGAATACACAATGTAGCATTGATGTGTGCAGTACATCTTCTGTTCAGTGTTGGAAGCTTATGATGGATGGCCACCCACAATGTGAATGAATGTTTTGGTATTGTTGGCTTGGACCAGACCAAATGAGACCAAGGGATGCTAGGTAAGTGTTGGTTCAGATGTTCCATTGTTTGTGCGATTGGGAATTCCCCAGTAGCAGTAGCAGATGGTATCCAATTGAAATTGTCATGTTTTTGTGAACAGGGCAGTCTGTATGTATGCTGTAATTGGGGTAGTATGGTTGTGAGGTGGTTGGGAAGGACCATGAGGACTCAGAGATGAAGGAGTTTAACTTGGTCTTACTATCATGGGTGGATTCAGTGATTTGCTCGGGTGTGACAAGAAATGATGGAGAAAGAATTATAGATGATGATGAGCTTAGCCTCTTTGAACCAATCAGAATGTGATGACCTCAGGAGAGGAACAGAAAGGAATAGAAAAGAAAGTTAGGTTGTTTGGGTGGGGGGGAAAGTGAAAGACAGGGCACACCTGGTACCAGAAGAAATTTGTGACGCTATTATGGAAGCTTGAAAGGTTTGAAAATGACATATCACCGTGGTGAGTGACACAGTGGTCTCATGAGAGTTGTTTGCACCATGCTTGCCGTCCATGGTGAGAATGAAACACATAGTGTTTGTTAATTTGAAGAGCAATGATAGAATCATAGACATCACACAAATTATTTCATGATTTACCATCACAAAAAATTTGTTGTTGACCTATATGTTCTCACTATTATGAGCTATGCGTCACTATTAGAAATTTTTTTTACTGTACTTAATTTTAGCCCAACTCAAAAAAATAAAAATAAAAATAAAAAATTACTATTATTATTCTACCCAAAGAAATATTAGTCCATCCTATTACAATTCATGCATCCGCTGTAATGTTTAAGTTTTTATTTTTATATATATGTGTGTTAGTGGAGGGACCCACTCATTAAGACCACATTTGTGTTTTTGTTTTCTGCTATCTCACTCTCTCTTTCCCAGCTGCCCGCTTCCACCTTCCTCTCTGTTTTCTTTTTCCTTTTTCCACTTCAAGGTTTCAATCCTTGATTGCTCCCTCATTTCTTTGTGTTTTTAAGTATCGTTTGAGGCAAAACAAAGCCCGCGACGAGCTCTACGCGCTCATACAAGCAATTTCAGTTTTTGGTCTTCCTAGGGGCTTCGAATTTAAGGACCCAATTTCAAGGGTTTTGTTCAATTTAGAGGTGGGGGCTCTTAATCCATGTTTTTCTTGCTCCATTGTGAATTATATCTCTCTTGTTGTGACAAGCATGTTTAATTTGGAAGTTAATTGTTTCAATGATTATATAAATGATGTTTGGGAAAATTCATGATTATGAATATGAGTAGAAAAGCATGCTTAGAGGTTGTCTTGTTGTGTTTAATGTTTTGATATTTCATTTGGAGATGTTGAACATGATGTATGCTTAATTATGTGGTGTAAAATTCTAAATGCCATAATATTGAAAGCATGGGATATATATACATGTACATACCATTGGGTTTGCATGAAATGGGAGAATTTGCTTGAAACAAAAAGGGAAATTTTGGGAAAAAAGTTTTTACGAAATGGTTTTATGAAAACCCGGTCGCCGCGGGGGTACCAAAGGGCCGGAGTGTTAATATAGCCTAGAGGGGATTAGGGAGTCGCCCTAGCGTGGTTGAGCTAGCTGGGCCCCATAATGACGCCGCGGGGTTACCAAGGGTCAGGGACACTAGCCAATCCTCCTCTCGTGTCGCTGCGGGGTCACCAAAGGACGGGTTATATTAACAGTTTGAAAGAGATGGATTTTAAATGTGAAAACGGGGAGTGACATCGGCATGCATTCGCATTTCATGGCATTGCATTGTTTGTACTTGAGTTTGGTTGAAATGTTGTATTATCCCGACACTGTATGATCCCCATTCCTATTGATCTATTCTTTGTATGGATTCACAGTGACACAAGATGCGTGTCTTAAGTGTCACCTGCTGAGCTATATGCTCACCCCTATATCTATATATATTTTTTTCAGGTCTTGGAAAGGAACTGGTGGATGACAACCCACCTCAAGCTTGAACGGCGTTAGAAGTCCACTTTTGTATCTTTGTATATTCCCCATTATTTTGTAAAACACTAGAAGTGCAAAGATGTATAATTATTTTGTGGAACTTTGTCATATAATATAACTAAAGTATTGATGATGTTTTGGATGGGGATTTGATAGTATGCAACTTGTTGATGAATGGATGGATAATCCTAGTTTGAAGCATTGTCTAGATTAGTTGGTTGTATCATTATCTTTTGTTGTCGTGAATTTGGAATTTGAGCCATGACAGGTTAAAAATGCAATTAAACAGGTTATGATAGGCCTATTTTTAGGGGAGGTCATGCCGAATTTTTTTTTGTTTAAAAAATATTAGTTTTGAGTCGTTACCTCCGCCCTTGTTCATGATCAACCTAAACAATCACATGGTACAAACAATCTTACTTTTGAAAGAGTAAGATGGCAACAAAGCCAAGCTTATCGACATTTTTGAGTTGTATTTTGATCACTACCTCTGCCTGCGAATACATGGATAAAAACAAGTCCCTAGTATCATCTTTAAAGGCCTCCCTTGCATCTATCGGGTTTCGTTGTGTCTGTTATGTTTTCTTTCCAAACAACCCAAAGGCTACAAGGTTTTTCTCGTATTACGCTATGATTTCAAAGATATATGCTCTCAAAGATATAAAAATATACAGAATAATCAAAATACACTGAATACTCAAAATGATATTTTGCAAAAATTACTCTCAATTGCAAAAATATTAATCTATAAGCCTCCTTATCTAGCTTAGAAAACATGTAAAAGTCATATATGTAAAAGATTATTACTGTACTATGTATAGATTTGGAACAGGGGAATAATGCCAATGGCTTACATGTTGCAAGTTTTCTCTCTTCGTCAGATTCTCTCTCACCCTCGTGTTTCTTACTCTTTCCTCACATCCATAGTTTTTCACACATTTGTTTTTGCTTAAAGATTTTTTTTCTTAGATCTGTTTTATTTGATACATTCTTACTCATATATGTATATATTTTTATAATTCACTGCTTATAGCCAGTAATAAAGAATTGAGTAATTTAATGTATTTTTCAATTCATTGATTGGATAGGAGTGTGCTCACATTGTCAAGGCTCTTGTGACAACATTACTTGAAAAATAAATTTATGCACTAAAAAGATCATTAAGATGGTACCTTTTTACTTGAAATAGGGTTTGAAAAGCTGAAGGATTGAAAGAGAAATCTTTAGAACCACAGCGTGAGAAGATTTGTCACTCTCTGGCTAACGTGAGAGAAGATGGAAACAATGAATTTAATGATAGAAGAGCCGAGTAAAAAACAAAGCAAAAGTATCACTCAATATGGATTCCTTGACTATCATCAAATTTCTATTATCATATATTTTGCAGCAGCAGAAATAACGTCACTCTTACATGACTTCCTGAAAGTAAACGCATTAAAAAAAAGAAGGAAACGACTCGAGTAATGGGTCAAGTATTTTACCGTAGAGTGTTTAGCCCAAAATGACAGCAATCCAGACGATGGGAGTAGCAATCCAAGCGATCCACGTCACGTTCGGAAGGAGCAACTCCACCATTGCCATAATAAACCCACTTGCCCCAAACCCGATACCAATTTTCTCGAGGAAACGAGCAGGCTTTTCATACTTGGCAAGTATATTGGCACATAGAGTACTAATGAAGCTAACTGTAATTGTACCTCCAAAATAGTAGGAATGCCAATTAGCTTTAGTCGACGAAGACGAGTCATTGTAAGTGTCCCTCACATGAGCAAGAACAAGATTAACAGCAAAGAAAAATATAAACATCCCGAAATGCTTCGGAGAATGATTTGACTGCGGATTCTGATGTATCTCATCCGTGACATTCCCTTCCTCTGGATCTTGAGATGATCCATCGCTGATTGGAGGGGTAGTTGACATCTCTGTTCCATTCCCTGCCTCTAGATCTTGAGATGATCCATTGGGCTGAAGTGATGTATCCCCTTCTTGATCTGATCTGTGTGTGAAATAAGAACGCGCCCTGTTAAACAGGACAGAAGGCCACCTAGCTACCGCTTTAACCCTGGAAAACAAGGTAACTTGAACGGCACTGTTTGTTGAAGAACAAGCAGTTTGACAACTGCTTGCCTGCCGATCCGCAAGCATCTCCATGTCTTCCCGTTCAACTAGATGTTGAGTGGACATCTCTGTTGCATCCACTCCTGACTGGAGATGAGACCCATCACTGCTCTCATCTCCAATGTGAAATACTCGTTCAGTGCCATCTTGATCCGGTGTCAATGTGAGAAGATACTCACTCTTCCATTCCTGGTATGGTGCAGAGGAGCTGTTCGAAGAGGAATCACCCAACTTTGCCTTTGTTGCCTTCAAACTGTGTCTGAGCCCTGGTACGGTCGAGGTGATTGCGGACGCTACCACGGCAGTTGCGGCGGCCAGGGTGAGGCTGGAGTTCTCGCTGTTGGACTTGCGATTTTTTGCCGCTTTTGAGGATTCCTTTGACTTGTACCCCTTGGTTTTCCCGTAGCCTCGCGCGACCGGGACGTCGTCCTTGATCCAGTATGTGCCGCAGTTCTTGCAATGATTGTGACGCTTCGCGCCTGAGCGCTTGGTGTTCACATAGTCACAAAGAGGACACGAAAAGGTCTGGTGGTCTGAGAAGCATATTGTAGAGCAAATATTCTTTCTTGATAGTGCAATTGCGTTGTCTAGAGAGTCGATACACTCCCTAATCAATGCAGATGTTTCATCATCATATCTAACCGTTTCCTCCATATGTTTAATCAATTGCTTTGCCAGTAGAAGATCATTTTCATATTGCCTTGACATGCTCTGCGAGAACAATTGCAAGGACAAAAAAAAAGTTTAGGAAAGATCGACCCATTCACCCATTGAATGAATTTGCATGCAATAATCAAATGGGTTTGAAAATTTTATTTATCTATTTATTCCTTGGTTTTCCCTTGCTTGTACACATAGGCATGTTGCATATAGTATATACGCAAAATAGGTGGACCAAAATTTTATGATTTACAACCTGAGCTCCTCCAGCTTTTAGAATGTGTGTCACACCAGCTTCAATAAGAAGATTATAATTTGATGAACAAGCAAAGCAATTTATGCAGTAAACTCAATTAACATACAACTGATATTATAAGATGTGTGTTTTAGGAATAGAAATACTACATGTTAAATTGGTACCTGGTTTTAGATCATATATATTTTGAGCTACAAGGTTCTAAAGTTTATATATACATACATTTCTGAATTCTGGCAAGCCATGATAATCCTGATATATGGCAATGTCCTTGAAGTCGTTGGCTTCTTCAACCGTACATATTGAGGCTTTCGGATTATTCATAATCCACCATTGAGTCAAATCAAAGGAAAGCTGCAAAATAACCAAAAACCAGATAAGTAATTGACTCGTGTATATATATATATATGTTTGAGCATTATAAGATGGAATGTGTGTTTTAAGAATAGAAATACTACATATTAAATTGTTACCTGGTTTTTTGCAAGACCCATCTGAATTAGTCCATCAAAGTAAGGAGAGACTTTGCCACGTCCACCGTTGGTTGCTATTTTGGACAACAGGTTCCCTTGCTCGCTCAAAAGTGATTTCATCTTTTGTTCTGCAAGTTAAGATTGATCGAGAAGGTAGAATTGGTAGGAGCGAAAGGACAAGTCTTAATCGCGAAAAAAATGCTTGTGTTATGCTGTAATACTGCACAAGGTCGGAAAACTGAAATTTTGGTACTTCTTATTGAATAAAATGTTAAACTTATATAGCATGTTCTGCAGAGAATAAGAGGGTGGGGATGAAGGTTCTGAGAAGAAACCGCCTATGATCTTCCTTTGAAAATTTTGTCTAATTCTGGTGAGCAGCTTAATTTGAACTTAATTATGTATTTTAAAAACATATTTTATAAAATGTTAAACTGAAATTTTTTCTTAATAATTGCAGCTTGAAACATTTTTTTAATCCAATAATAGATATTCTCGATTTCATTTGATTTGATAATTCAATGAATTATTTAGAATTAAATTCATATTCCAATTTTTAAGAACTGGATCCGAAAAAAAATTAATTTTTGTTAACCAAGATTTAATGTAAAAAGGAGATTAGCAAACAATGATTAGGAAAGAAGAGAGAATCCGAAAATGAAAAAATATATATAAACCACAAAAAAAAAAAAAAAAAAAAGAAAAAGAGTAGAAATTAAGGTATTTGACTATTTATTAAAGAAATATATAAAATTGGGAGATGGAAGAAGAAGAAGAAGAAGAAAAAATTATAAAAAAATTATTTTAACAATATGTATATATTATGTAGTGCAATATTATATAATATATTATGTATTTTACTATTTCAATCCATATTCAAATTATTGAATCAACTTCAAATCAAAATCTGGTGTACAGTTTACACAGTTCTAATTGTTGGTCCATACGGTGTAAATAAGACATTTTTGTTGAGCTTAATTACAATCAATTGTTCTGCCGCAAGCAATAAAATAGCAGAGAAGAAAGAGATCTCAAAATATATGCAATCATGAGAGAGAATGTAAGAAACAAAACCAGCAGAGATCTAAGAAAAAAAATATCTAAACACAAACAAATCTGATAAAAAAACCTCGGATCTGAGAAGGAACGATCAATATTTTGTAAAATTCCTAAAAAAAATGTTCCAAACGATTAGCACATGCTTCTTATATTCCCATCAATTGGTCTGCGCAAAGAATTCAACAAACAAAACCAATCCAGATCTAAGAAAAAGATGTTCAATCACAATCAAAATTGAGAAAAAACTTCGTATGTGAGAAGGAGAGGAAAATAGTGTTAGTAAACCAATACCAATAGTAATAGAAGCAGGGGAATAGTGCTGACTGGTGTCTGTGTGCTCGCCAATTCGGAGATCGTAGTGCTAGGTCAAACTATGTGAGGCGATATATATTCGCAGGTAAAATTCCAGATTTTCAGTTCTGTTCATATATAATACACAAAGGATGATAATTTAATTTCTCTCGCAAATATTTCATCACGGTCAAATTTCTGTACCATATTTTAATCTAAATACGCGTTTTCTTTTCTTTAATATGTTTTAGTCATCCGGAAGCTTCCAAAGTCAAGGAGTTGGTGAAGAAACGAGTTTTGAGTTCTTTTCCTCAAAAAGAAACTTGGTCTCTTCAATCTCCACCATCACCAAGGTGATTTCTTTCTTGTCCCAAACAAGATCCATCAATGGCAACAAAGCAAAGCTTGCCTAGAGTTGTTGTTGTTGTTGTTCCTCTCTCTAATTCTCACATCCATCAGTCTTCATCTCCATCAGAGAGTAGTGAAACCACCCTTTCAAGATGTATATTGATCACCAGCTCTGCCATAGCTTTTTCGCTGCTCTTACTTCCCTACCAGTACATAGATCAAACTCGTGTTCCAACTATCATCTTTAAAGGCCTCCCATCTATCTTCCAGGGCTTCGTTATATCTATTATCTTCGCTTTCACCGCTTCATTTAGCGCGGTTTTCCTCCACAAAAGGCCAAAGATTGCAAGTTGCTTCCTCTATTTCTCCATGCTTTCAATGGTAAGCGCTGTCCTGTTTCTGTTTTGTGCCATGTCTTCAGCCCTTCCCAGGTCGGCATCTGACGAGCTCGGAAGAATCACCGGTTGAAGAAGAAGAAGAAGATATCCACAGGGGGTTTTGATGGAACTTTTTATTTTCCTCTTGAAGCCTCACCAGCCCCCTTCTTTGTGCTGGAATGTAACCCTAACCTTTCCTTGTAATATGCAACCTTAGATGTTATAAAACTTCAATATTATGTTAATTTTTTTTTTTTTTTTGTATTTCAGTGAATTGCTATGTAAGACTGCAAGATCCATCATCATGTTTTGCAATTTACTATACACCTCAATTCTATGCAAATCCAACAATTATTGATCCAACTTCCATTTCAAATTGGTTTTCAAAACTATTAGGTATATATTGGTAAAGTTATGAACTCAGTTAACGACCTATTGAAATTTGTGAGACTGATCTAGAAGATGTGTTTTTTGGGCAAATTAGAGTTGATGCGTCCGTCTACGTTTTTATCCCATCTGCTTGATCCAAAACAGAGTCCAGAACCCTAGAAAATGAATAACAGCGTAATTTGATGCACTTCCTATGCAAATTGTGTCATTTAATTATGCGAATTAAAAAAAAAAAAAAAAAAAAAAAATCAAGTAATTGTGATTCGAATTTTCAATTATGTTCATAAAAAAACACACAATTTTTCAATCATGGGATGATAATCTCTCTCAATTTAATTACGAGTCATATTTTTGGGATGGACTAGTCTTTTGAAACCATTTTCTAAACATCTAATAATTTCTCATCAACATCCACTGCACAAACTCTTTCGTACATGATAGACAAGACATGACCAATTTTGGTCAATCCTTTCCCTGACAATGGGAGGAGAAAGGATGATTAATTATTGAGCTTATTTGTGAAATGCCCAAATCTGATTTTTTTTCATCCTATTTGAATTCCACGTTAACCTTTTGTGAAGTATGGAAAATACCATTTTTTAAAGCTGCTAGAATAGTGGGTACAGTAGGCATTTTGAGCTGCTTAAATGATGATCTTCATTGGGTTATTTGAGTGGATAAATTGATACTTGAAAACAGCAAATGCCTACAGTTTAATCGAATAGATATTGTTAAGATAATGTTTGTATGTTGGGAATCTAAATATAATCTGGGAATCAGTTTGCAATACTTTTTTTTCTCGATCTAATTTGTGAAAATTTCTGATCAAAGGAACCTCCCAAACTCATTTTTTCAATCATGATTGACACTTTGTGGACCAGTTCAATCTAAACTCTCCAATTGAGAAAATGATCTGCAAGAGTGTATTAATAATATATTATAAAGAAATATAAACATTAGTTTCCAACAAATAAGTCCATTAAGTATCAAATGATACAAAATAATCTAATAATTTCTTAGATAGTGCTTTTACTCTGCAAAAATGTGGTTTTGCCCTAATTATGTTGATATTTCCCAGTTCCCACACTCTTTGTTATTTGCGTTGCTGTCGTTCAAATCCTTGTGGTGGATGAAGGACCATGGGCTTGGGTTGGGCGTGTTTTGGACTTCAATGTCTTGGTAATCTTAATTTTTTGTATTGGGCCGTATGATGTATTTAACTATTTCATGTGTTTAGCCTAAGGTTTGTTTCTGGGTTATTAGGTTCTCTTTGGGGTTTATGCCCTTTTGTATTCCCTACATGTTTTCTCTTTCTATACAACTTTAATTTACTGGGGAAAAAAAAAGATATATATATTCTTTCTAAAGCTAAGTTTTATAATTGTGTGCGGACAAAATCTAATATCAGCCTTGTTGGTGATGAAATATTATGGTCACTTTTTCTTTTCTTTACTTTTCTTTACTTTTCTTTTCTTTTCTTTTTTTCTGTTTTTTCTTTTGTGAAATAATGTTAAACAAACTCGCACATCTATGGCCCACGTAGGCATAAACCCAGACCTCTCCTTTGAAGAGGTGAGTTTGTACCAACTGAGCTATTGTTCATTTGTATCTTAAGATCACTGTAGGTGCAAAATTTCGCTCAACCAGTAATGATTGAGAAAAATAGAACAACACATTCAAAAAAAACAATAAGAATAAATAAGAACAGTGTATAGAGAAGCGTAGAATTGCTTGATCCCTTTATTAGAGGTCTTAGCCTCTATTTATATACAAAAGATTGTAAAATTATGGTAGGACTCGCGTTGCTTGCCCTCCAATTCTTTCTATATAAACATTCTTTACTCTTTACTAATAGAGTTCTTTCCATTGTCTAATTTTCCATACATAGAACTTGCCTTGTACAGAACTTCCTATCTCAGAATTTTCCTTCTACGGTAAATCCTTCAACTGGTAGGACTTGTGCATTCTTGAATAACTAGGCTGAACATATTTTGATCCGGCTGGGCTTGAGTAACGGACCGGATGTTAAATATTAACAAGTTGGGCTGATGACCTCTTGATTCGGCCTTGATGGAGGTTGGAGAACAAATAACAACGGTCTTGGGCTATAAATACCCTCAATTTGGGCTTGAGCATGATGGGCCTTATATGTCCTTGGAATGTGGATATGTGTAGTGATGACGTGTGCGCTTTTTATTGGAGGGAGTTTTTTTCCCTCCACACTTTGCCCCAAATTTCATTTTTAATTGAGTGACGGCTCCTATTAAAGAGGGAATTGAAACCGGTTTTTAACTTTGCTTCAGAAACGGTTCGAGGTCTTTCTTTATTACTCCGTCATACAAGATTTTGCAAGAGTTACATTCGCCCTTGCTGCACTTTTGCACTCTTCATTCCATCGCTTTGTCAGGTTAGTTTTTTTTTGCATCTTTCTCTTCAATCTTTCATTATGAGTACTTCATCTACTTCCGAACGTACAGACATTGGGGATTCTGAACCCACACCTTCATCTTCCCCCGTGCGCATTAGGCCCCCCCCTCCTAGGGTTTCTACAGATCGTGTTTCGTCGAATCCATTAGGTACTTCCCCCCTTCCAGCCGAGACATCCACCTCAGGCTCTGATTATGTTCTTACTCATGAAGAGAGGAAAGCAATCATCTCTATTCGCCGTATCAAGTTCTCTATTGCTTCGGTAATGGAAGAATTTGATATTCCTGAGGGAGTAGAAATTGCAGAATATCCCGAGGGTGCCGATTTTACCTCCGGCGAGGGAATTGAAGAGAGTGAATTGCTTCTTTCGGTAGGGCATCTTAACGCCCTCCGATTCCCTCTTCATCCCTTCTATCATTTAGTTTTAAACAAGTTAGGTCTTGCCCCCCTTCAGGTAAATCCTAATTTCTTTCGCATCCTTTCGGCACTGTTGGTGCGCTGAAAATTAGAGGCTTTGGATTTGACCCTTGCCGACCTTCTGCTTACTTAAAATATATCTAAGCATGGGACCGAGCCTGGTCGCTTCTTTTTTACCTCTCCCCTTCATCAGAGGATATGCACGAACCTTCCTTCATCCAAAAAGAAGTGGAAAGAAAGGATGGTTATAGTTAAAGGAAAATGGTTCGTGCCCCAATCAATTACGCTCTCCATCCCGCGCAAGTTCGGGAAATTAGGTATAGAATACTTAACCTCCCTTCATACCAAGTGTTCTGGCTGTTTTCCTTGCCAAGTCTTAATGTTTCGCCGTACTTATGAGTTTCTTGGTGTTTTTTTAGCTACATTCCCATCCTCCGTAGCAAGGAACAAACTTTCTTTTCTTGAGGAACGAGTCTGGAGTGACCCCTCGCCTATCGAGGACCTGCTAAATTCTTCAAACCTCAAGGATATTGCCTCCAGTGCTGTTGCTGCAGACCTCATGGATCTGTCTCTACCATCCTTTGACAATTTCCCCATGACTGATGAGGAGATACGGAGGGCTGAGGCTTTAAAAAAGAAAGCCAAAGATGCCCAACCCTTGGTCGTTATTAGATCTACTGAGGATGAGGTGGAGGCTGAGGAACCACCAATGAAGAAATCTCGCCTCAACCCCCCATCCTCTGGCAAGGGCAAGGTCCCTTCTAAAAGCAGAGGGAAAAAGGCTAGAGAGGCCGAACCTGAAGATGAAGTCAGGGCCTTTGTTCTGGCTGAGACTGGGGCTCCTTGGACTCCTTCCTTCTCCAGGGCTGATAAGTCAGTCCTGCACTCAGGGGATTCTGTGATTACAGACCCTTCAGCTGCACTGGCGGTGGCTTGAGGGATGTGGCTCCCAAAGGACGAAGAAGCCATCAGCCAAATGGGGTTGGAACAACTACTCCCCTCTGCCCTGGTCCGGGCCATAGAGGTTCGCATTGTTCCTTCAGAATTATGTTACTCTTGCTTGCTTATGTTTCCATTTATGCTCATATTTGTTCCACTGTTATATAGAGTCTATACCACACCATGGCCCTTTGCGCCACTGCTGAAGCCCAATCCATCTCCATCAAGAAGCTGGAAACGGATCTTGACAATGCAGAGAAGAGAGCCACCACTGCCTCTACCAATCTGAAGATAGCTTCTGAAGCCAAGGATACGTATAAGAGGCAGTTGGCAGCCTCTGAGGCTAAGGTGGATTCTCTTCAGGCCGAAGTTCAACGCCTGACTGAGGCTCTTACTACTTGCTTCAAGGCGGGGAAGCAAATGCAGGGGCGCTACTCCTGTCTGGCACACCTGGCTAGTGCTAAAGTGTTCCGGTCTGGCTATAATCAGGGCTCAGGCCCTAGGACGATGGATCCGAACGCTTTTGACAAGCAGGTGGGGGTGCACTTCCCATATGATGAAGGGCCAGAGGCTTTGGAAGCTGAAATCCGCTTTGCCGAGATGGTGAAGGCGCACCTGAAGGGTACTCCTAGCTCTTCTGCCCCTGCGGCTTCAATTCCTCCTACCCCAAGTCCTACTGTAGTGGATGCCTTTGAATCTACTCCATTCGATCCGAAGAGGAAGTAGAACCATGTATTTTGTTTTTATGGACAGCATGTTTGGGATAATGAATATAATTTTTTATTTTAGGCTTTCAATACCTGATTTGTTTTTGCTGTATGCTTTTGATACTGTTCATATTTTTCTGACTGGTAATGTGTTTAAACAAAACACATTGTCTTTATGCTTCGGATTTATGCTATCCGAGAAAAAAACAAGAATGGTGGGAAGAAGGAGATCCTTTTAACAATTTAGTTGATATCTCAGGATGATTCATATGGACAATGATTTCACTGTTAAGTGAACTCTCTTTGCCTTTTACTTGCCTGCAGTAGATGTATACATACTCTTTCTTTCTCATGTGTTCCTGATG